GTCAGGGTGGCTCATTTTAGGATTTATTTTTCCCCCAGTTGTTGGGAAGAACTTTCCTGCATGTCCTTCCTGGGCAGGATGAGAGGAAATGCTCTCAAATTGTGCCAGGGGAGGTTTGGAAATTAAAATTTCTTCACGGAAAGAGTTTTAAAGCTTTGGAAAATTGCCTGGGGCAGTGGTTCCCATCCTTGGAAGTGTTCAAAAAACGTGTGGGTGTGGCATTGAGGACGTGGGTTAGTGGTGAACTGGTTGATGGTTGGATTTGATGATCTTTTCCAAACTTAACAAGTCCCTGATTCTCATTTGCCATTGCAGGTAAAAGCTGTTAATTTTTTTAATTATTTCAGAGGAGTTGATAAACTATTTTGTGTGATTGGATCATGTACTTTCATGCAGCTTGTGAGGCCACTGGGAGGTAACGGTGTGTGTGAGGACAGTCAGGTGCCTTGGTGTGGTCTCAGAAAACAGAAGAATCTCAAATATTTATCAGTTCTTGGTTAATTAAATTAATAATGATAATTGTAACTGTCGATCACACAGCAAATGTGGATATTTCTATACTCTACTGGTGACAAAGTTGGTTTTTTCCTACTTTTAAAGCTACCATAAAGACCTTCTGGTTCCTTATCTGGTTCTGTTTTTAGAAACTGAGCTTTCATAAAAAATACGCTTTGATTGCAAACTGTCCATGAAATATATTTATTTTAATGGGATATTTAAGCAGTATAAACTAAGGCAGATCAAAGAGGTGTTTGCTCTGCACAAATGTTAAGCTCTGTTTTTCCTAATGCAGAAATTGTTGTAGTGAGACTTTTCTGGGCCACTGAACTTCCCGGCGAGTGTTCTTCATCTGAGGAATTAAAGGATTAGGATGTAATTTAGATCTTTTGGTGAGAGCTTCTTCCTAATGACTTTTATCCATTTTCTGTGCTGCTTTGCACAGAGGAGGGGAATTACTCAGTCATTAATCGAGCTGACACCTTGCCAAGGAAGTTCTTTGCACAAAGAATCCTTTTCTCCTTTCTTCTGTTTCCATTGCATGAGAAACCACTCAGCGTTTTCCTGAATTTTCCCAAACTCCAACTATCCATAAAAAAATCCACAAAAGATCCGAGCTGGGACTTCTCACCAGCTGGGTGGACAAAAAACAAGGAAAACTCACCCAGGTGGGAAGAGCTTGAGAAGGAATTACTGAGCACGGTATTTTCTAGTTGAGGTTTTTACAGAAACTTTGTGCTTCCAAAACCTGAAGGGATCCTCTGGAAAAGATGGAGAAGGGATTATTTAGGAGAGCATGGAGAGACAGAGAGCAGGGCTGGATGGGATTTTGGGCAGGAATTCCTCCCTGGGAGGGTGAGGAGGAGCTGGGATGGAATTCCCAGAGCAGCTGGGGCTGCCCCTGGATCCCTGGCAGTGCCCAAGGCCAGGCTGGACATTGGGGCTGGAGCAGCTGGGACAGGGGAAGGTGGAACTGGATGAGCTTTAAGGCCCCTTCCAACCCAAACCATTCCATGATTTTATGATGGCTCCAGCATCCCAAGGAAGCAGCCCATGGAACAGCTCTCCTCCCTTGTAAGCGTGCACAGAAATTGTGCAACTCTGGAATTTCAGAGGTTGAGTTAATTTGCTGAATCCAGGGGAGTCTTGCCCCAGCCCCAATAAAATGAACAAATTTCTACCTCAGCTGTGCAAAAAGACTCGCTGGGAGATGCAAAATCCCTCTTACAGTCACCTTCAGGTTTAAACGTGGTCTGCTGATGGCAAAGTTTTCAGAATTAAGGATTTGGGATTCTTGGGGGCCAGGAGTTGGATTCCATCAGCCTTGGGGGTGATTTTGTAATCTTTTGGAATTGGAAAATCTGTTACACAGGTCTAGAACGCAATGCAAAGTTTTAATTTGCATTTTAATCCTGACATATTTCACTGGGACATCCTCCCTGGCTTTGAAGGACAATTGGAAAGCTCCTTTTCCAGATTAATTTGGATTACTTGAAATACAGGTTTGACTTAAAAATATCAGTGCATCCATCATATGAAAAGGTTTTTCCCTTAGTGGTTCATGTTCTTTCACCATTTAAGGTGAATTAATTATTTCAAAGTATTTCTTAGCTGTGGATGGATAAAATTTGGAAACATCTCATTTGTTCCTAAATTTATGCAGATTCCTCCCACATAAAAATCCTTTGTCAAAATCAGGTTCTGTGCACGAGCAGAAGCACTCCAAAAATCCTGGGTGCAGTAATGTGTCAGTGTAATAAATTAGGATTTTAAGAGAGAAATTGGTTACAGAACTTTTAAATTTTCAGGGTTAATCGTATGATTTCTCATCTCTAGACGTGGCTTCACACAGTGTGAATAGCCTGAATATTTATTTACTTTATGCCTAATAAAAATCCTAATTTAGGGAAAGCTTTAACCAGAATTTGTGCTTTTTAAAGTAAAAACCGCTGATAGTACGAATCTGTGAGAAACAAACTTCAGTCAGTGTTTCCAAAACACCTGTTCAGACACTTGAATAAATAATTCTGTATGAAGATCTTCATGTGATAAATTAAAATGCTGATATTTAAATTCTCTATCAAGGATTTTCACGCACTGACTTTATTTTTCTCCTCATTTTTGGCAGTTTTACTTCATGGTGTAGTCAGGTGTATTTGTCTAAATTAAACGTGCCCAAATTAACCTACCAGCAAATTAAACCTTGAAGAAAATGTCTTTTTTCTGTTTGTTTTTTGTCCCTCCTGTAAATCTACTTTGGCAAATATTTGTACAGATGCTGTTTCAGAGAGCACTGCTGCTCTCGGAGATAGATTGAAAATCTTTATTATCATTTGCGTTCTCTAAATATTGCACGTCACAAAAGCTCTGACACCACTGTAAGTCATGCCAGAAAATACAATTATTGCCACACTGCAGGTGTATTTATTTATTTCTGCTGTTTGATCACATGTGGGCTGGCAGAGACTGCAGTAAATTCAATTTCTACGAGTTTTTCTGCTAGAAATTGTTTGTTTTAGATACATCATTCAGGACCCCTGGGAAGTAATTTTTTAATACTTGTTAATTAGCAATGATACCCAATTAGATACCAAATAGAATCCTGATTTTGGTATGGTTTACATCTACATTAAAGATTGTCCAGTAGAACACAGCTATTGTAAAATAATAATAATAATAATACTGAACTAAATTAAAGGCCCACTAAAGCTTATAAAATAGTCTTCAAAGTCATTTAATTGAAAAGAAATAACATTTAAAAAGCTGCTTGCATCTAACTGTATCACATCTAAAGTCATCACACCACATAAAATAATCTTTGAGGCAAGCTAGATAATAAAATAGGAATAAAATCAAAAGTTCTGCTTTGTAAAAGATCTGAATAGTAGAATTTTACCCCCTGAAGCACAAAAGGCTGGATGACATTGTCCTGTATCCCTTTCCCAAGCATCAAGCTTGCAATGAAGGTCACATTTCATATCTCAATAATAGATTGTTATAATTATTATTAATAATATATTTTTTTTCTCTTCTGTCTTCAAATACAGAAGAACACAGTGTTCATGTTGATTTTTGGCCTCACAGATCCTCAAATTCAAGTCTCAGTAATGAATTCCTGTTTGGGAGGAGAGTTTTATATCTAAATGAAGGTAACCAATTTGCTGATTAAAATGGATTTAAAATAGTAATTTAACTTTTACTGCTGCTCACCCCACCCCCCCCATCTTGCTCCCTTTAGTTCTCTCCCCCTTACTGCTGTGGTTAATAGCATTTTTGTGGCTAGTAGTATTTTAATCTGATTAAACACATGCTTAAACTGCAGCCAAAACCAATACAATTAATAGGGAGAAACAAGAACATACCAACAAGCTCAACAATCATTCAAACCCTGGTTTAACACTATATAAAAGAATTCATTTAAAACACTTATAACAACTTTATAAAGCCTAAGGGAGGTTGAATTGGTATAAAATGAATCTGGGTGATCTGAGGAGGTGTAAAATTAGGATCACTGAGCCCCCACAAGTCCCCCTCCCTCAGAAGGGCTTGATAAACCTGGTCAGGTTCAGATATAGGTTCAGATACAGATCTAGATAAAGGTTCAGGTACAGATATGGGTACAAGAACAGATATAGGTACAGGTTCATGTGCAGACATGGACAAAGGCTCAGGTACAAGTTCAGGTACAGGTATGAACACAGGCACTGCTGTGGGTACAGATCCAGGCAGAGGTGTAGCTAAGCGGGGCTCATGTACAGATTCAGGCACAGGTATAGACACAGGTACAAGCACAGGTTCGCGTACAGGTTCAAATTCAGGTACAGGTACAGGCTGGGGCACAGGTACAGATACAGGTTCAGGACAGGTACAGAAGCAGGTACAGGGCCAAGACGGGCACAGCTACAGATGCAGGTACAGGGTCAGGACAGGCACAGCTACAAGCGCAGGTTCGGTTCCAGGTCCGTGTCTGGGCCCGTTCCCGTGAGGGACCCACCGGGGTCCCGCTGTGGCTCCCGGGCAGCGCCTGAGGCGCGAGCGGCTCCGCGGGGCGGCGCCTCCGTTTGAACTCAAACCTCCCTCGCCGCTTCCCATTGGCTCCGCTGCGCGTCGCGCGCCGCCCCCTCCGCCAATCAGAGTCCGCCGCGCTCCTTTTCGAATTCTCAACGGTCAGCTCGGTGAGTTCGTTTCTCCTTCCGCCGATCCGGGACGGTAAAAGAGTCAAAGGTAAAAGAGTTCCTCTGCCCGGTGCCGCTTGTCGAGGCCGGGCGGGCTCGGTGCTGTCCCGCAGCCATGGCCGCTGCCGGCAGGCGCGGGCTGTGTAAGCGGCGGCTCTCGGTCCGTCCGTCTGCGCGGGTCCCGGGGGATTCGTTTTGATGCCCGGCGGAGGGATACACCAGGGCGGAAGTGGGTGCACAGCGCGAGGGCTCGGGGGCTGGCGCGCGCGCGCGGGAAGGGCTGAGTCGGCGTTCGCCGTGCTGGGAGCGCGGGGGGGGGGCGCGCGCGTCGGGGGCGCGTCGGACGCCGCCACACGGGGCCAGGTACGGGCCCGGCAGAGCCAGGTGCGGGCCCGGCAGAGCCAGGTACGAGTGGGCGAGCGGGGACGGGAGGGGGGCCGGAGGGACGCGGCTTTGGGGTGACGGGTGCCTGAGGAGGAGTCGGGCCGCTTGACAGCCCGCTTCGGTGGCCACCGGCATTGTGGCTCTAGCCCCTTGCCCTGGTGGCTGTTGCCGCCGTCTCTCCCGGTGTTTTCCTGTTCTGTCCCCGCCGGTGGCTGTGAGCGCCAGAAGCCCGGGCTTGTAAATTCCGGCTTTTGCATCTCATGTGGCTTTTTTGGCTCGTAGGAGCTGGTGGCTGCCGTGGCTCGGTGCAGGACACCGAGTGTTTGCGTTCCCTGAAAGCCGAAGGGACTCCCGGGTTCCCCTCCCAGTTGTGTCTTGTCAACAAGTGTTTAATCGCATAAAACCCACCAAAAATATCCATACGAGTACCAACTGCATTTAGTTCCCTTGTTTTACCTTGCTGCTTTCTAATAGAGTGTTGCTAAAGATGCTTCTTTGAGGATCGCTTGTGGTAGTCCTATGTTAAATAATCTGTTATATGAAAATACATAAAAATGTATCTGTTTGCGCTGTGGGTTTGGGGTTTTTATGCCAGTTCAGGAGCTGCCCAATTTCCAGCCCCTTCCCAGCTGTTCCTGCCACTACTCCTGGCAGCTGATGCCACTATCCCCTTTTTCCAGGAGGAAATAACTACAATCAGTTGGTCTTTATTTTAAATTCAAATCTCAGAATTTCCATCTGGGTAAGAGATTGAAATGTTTAGATTTAGGTGAAGAGGAGTGAATTTTTAAGTTGTTTATGGGACAAAATCTGTGTTGCTCCTGAACCTTTTCAAGATGGGTAACAAAAACCTCCCAAATACCAAAGTTAGTCTGACAATTTATATAAACACATTCACATTTTTTTACATGGGGAAACACATATAACTGTGTTATATAACAGTGAGATTCATCTGCTGTCCAGTGGAAAATATCTCATCCCTGGAACAAAATAAAGCATAAAAATTTATGTTGATTTATTCTCATAAACATGCAAATCATAATTCGGATGAGTAATCTGGGCGTTTCCTTTATAGGTAAGGTTCCTTACACTCGAAGATGCCACGCTACGGGAAAATCATTGTCATCAAAAGGAATGGGACTGATGGAATTGTTTTTCCACTCACTTCAACGTCTTGTTTATTTGGAAGGTGAGAATTTGCTTGCATACATTGAAATGATGAGTGTTTTCCTGCAGATCATGTCTTTTAATGCTTATTTACAAAAATAAATGCTCATTTAGGAATGGTGTGCAGAGGAGGGAAGGTTAATGTAAGAGTAGAAAGTTGAACTTTATTTTAGTACTGCTTTTTGTCTTTTCCTTGCCAGAACTACACTGATTGATTGATTTTAAGTTTCTAGCCATAGGAAATCAGGGGAAGGGATTAAAAGTGATAAGTGTTAAAACCAAAAGCAAATCAAAAGCGTTAGAGATTATTTTCAGAAGAGGACAGAAAAGTCTGTACATTTATAAACATGTTTTAACTCACTGATAACTTCTAAGAAGGTAGAAGTGGTTCTGCAGGTGAGACCAAGGGTCCAGTTGGCAGTCTCAGATCAGAAATGTAACTCTGGGAATCACTTTAACAGCTGATTTTGTCTAAAAATATTCCACAAGTCTCAGGAAACTCTGAAAGCAAGTAAGCCCATAGCACCAGCTGTGCTGTAGCCATGTCTCAATTTGTTGTGATCTGCTTTTTTCTGATCTCAGCTCCTGTGCTGGAGGAGTGCAAGCTGCTATTTTTGCCAGTTTAAAAAGATTTAGGTAGTTAATTGTCTTCAAATTAGAGACATCATGCTGCTGTACCATTATAAATTTTGGGCAATGCCCTAATTGTCCAGCAGATTTCCCAGTGTTTTGTGTGAAACTGAACCTGTGTTTTCCCCTCAGGAAAACAGAGTGTGACATCCGCATGCGGCTGCCCTGGGTGTCCAACGAGCACTGCAAAATCGAGATCAATGAGAACAAGGAGGTGAGATGCTGATGTTTTAGTGAATTTTGCATTGCCTTGTTGCATCTCAGCAGGTCACTCACATTTTTTGTTTGATTTTCAGGCAGTCCTGACTAATTTAAGTGAAGTGAACCCCACGCAGCTGAACGGGGCTTGCTTTGAGCAGCCCATTCCCCTGAAGCATGGAGATGTGTTAACCATTATTGATCGCTCTTTCAGGTGTGTGCCACTGCCACAATCTTGAATTTTTTTTGATTCTAGAGTGGAAATTAATTAAGTTTAGTTAATATTTCTCTTACAGGACTTAATCAGAAAACAGGATTGCTCAAAGTTATTTTTTTATCACTTTTATTACACTTTTATTAAGCTAAATCAATATAGGTAGAATTGTTTAGAGAGATCATTCTGATTTTGTTTCAAGAATTGTCAGTTTTAGGGGGAAATTTAAAGTGGTTTTAAGTTACTGAAGCCTTTCAAATGGAGATGTGTGCATTGTTGGGAGGGGACAGCTATTCCTAGCTCATTCCTCTTAATAATAGGAATTTAGTTATCAATTATTTGACAAAAAATGGTATTTTAAAACATTTCTTTCAGGTTTGAATATCCTCTGCAATCAACTCCGAAGAAGAGGCATTCCAGGTCTCCAAAAGATGAAACTCTGCAGGTAGTTTTGTAGCTGTGGGCTTTTTCTCTACAAATGTATTGGTAGTAGTTGACATGATTTTCTATTTCCTTGTTCTGTTTTCTTATTAAAAGTAACTTTTCAGCCCTAAATTGCCTTTCTGTCTCAAAATACAAATACACTCTGTCAGATAAATAATTTTATAAGTTTGGTAATTTTTAGTCTACATTTTAGTCAAAAATTTGTCACTTTTTGGTAATAGATAATTAATAATTCATGACGTTACTAAAACAGACCTAAAAATCTTCCGCTGAGTTTGGTAAGAAGGGGAGGTTCTAGTGTTTTTATTCTTATTTTACAGCTGCATTGACAGCTCAGAATTTAAATGATAAAACAAGATAAACTTCTCCTCTCTAGAGCCTCAAATGTATTGGCCAATGGTAAATATTGAAAAGTTCAAGGATTTAATTTGAGCACTTTAAAGCTTGTTTAGGGATAATGCAAATTCTCTTATAAATAGGTTTTTCTTCGATGTAGAATTGAGAGCTGAAGTATAAAATACTCGTTGCTCTGCTGTAATGTTGTACAAATTTACAGGTTCTTCATGTTCAGCAGGTGGCAGAAGTGGAATTATTACACAAACAAACTTCAGGAGCTAAAAGTCTTGGTGCTTCAGGTTGGTACTTGTTTTATGAGGGCTTTGCTTTTGTCCCCTTCAGTGCATTTATTATTAGCATTTGAATTAAATTCAATTTAAAAGGAGGAAAAAGGCATTTTAAGACTTTCCAATCTGAGTAGACCTTGCTATGGCAGTGATTATCCCATCATGTTTAAATGCTGTGAATTCACCTTTGACATTAAATTTTAAACTTGAGCTTCTCTGCTGACCTACAGCTACACCTTTTTAAGCAAATATTGCATTATCTCATGCCTTCTTTCCTAATAAAAATCAAAACAAGTATAATTTTGGAGATACATGGTATATATTGAAATGATTATTTACAGGAATTGTTTCCTGTAGAAACAGAAAAATCCAGAGATGCTAATTCTGGGTAATTATAAATTATTGTGAATTATTATAAATTATAATAAATTAAATGCCAGGACTTCACCTTCCCATCTTTCTTGTCTTAAATAATCCTGATTTTCAGAGAAGGCTCTTTATTTTATCATTTCTGACAGATTTTTTGTTCCAGTGCAAAAGACCCCAGCTGCTTCCAGGTGTTCCATTTCAGTAGATTTTGGTTGACCGGGATCTTCTCTCTTGGGAGGGAAAATAAGAAATTTTTAATCTGTATTTATGGAACTCTTTATGTATTTGTAGTTCTGCAATTTTGAAGTAACTCTGTGTCTGTATCTTTGCTTTGCTTTCTTTGTAGATAATGCTGAGTGTGAAGAAAAAAGTGCCAATGAAAGTAAACAAACTCCAGAGGAAAATCTTCCTGAAGCTTTCACTGTCAAACTCCAACCACCCAAATCTTCCCAGAGAATACATTGTGTTTTTAAAAAGCAAAATGAAAAGTCTCCCTTTAGTAAACTCTATGAAAATCTGAAAAATGAGCTGCAAGTGGAAAAAACTCTGCACAGGGGAACTGCCTCTCAGCAAGCTGCAAAAGGAGACCCTGGGAGTGTTCTGCCAGAACCAAGTGCTCCCATTCCATCCCTGAGCTGTCTTTTTGATCTGGGCAGCCTGGCTAAAGGAAAGGAAACGGGCAGGATGGAAAATATGGAAGAATGTATAATTGTGAGATGTGAAGAGAGAAACAGCCCAGGGTTTAACCAGCTGTCAGCTGGAGGTGGAACCCCCAGGAAAAGTTTTACCAGGAGTCCTCGAACTCCCATTTCAAAGGAGGTGTCAGGAGACACCAGTCAGAATCCATTGCAGGATCCTAAGAAGTTAAGGACACCAGGCAGATCCAAAGGTACTGCAGTTACACCCAAACCCAGCAAGGAGAACCACAGGAATTCCCAGGTTTTGCTGGAGCAGTGCTCCATAGAAAGGATGGATTGTCCAGCTAAAGCAATGATGTGCAGCCCCACAACCCCCACCTCCCATGTTGCTGAGGGAGGTAAATGTGCACTGAACATACCAAGGCCCAGGAGGAAGAGTCCTCGGTCTCTTTTTGTGTCACCTCCCAGAGAAACCACTGGAATGAATTCTGGAAATCCTGATACTCCAAAGACCCCACGGCGTGCATCACTGAAACGGAAATCACTTCCAGAAATCCCAGCTGGAGCTCCAAGGGAAGATTCAGTGTGCAGAATTGATAACACACAACCACCTTTGCCAGAAGACAATTGCTTAAAGCAAAGACAAAACAGCAAACAGCAAACACCACGAAAAACTGCCCAGGAAGTGCTGAAAGAGGTCTGGGATCAGGCAAACCTGGATAACTCGAAGGTGGGACATTGTGAAACCACTGCCTCTCTCTCTAATTCCAAGAGTCCCAGAAGAAACAGCAGGGAAAGCAAAGAATTCTTGGACAAAAGTGCCCATTCAGAGGCACTGGCTTCAGAAGGGATGTTGGCATCTCCTGCTGATCAGACACCTGGAAGGAAAAGGGGAAGGCCGAGGAGCTCTGGAGTTGTGACTGGAGCAGCACTGGAGACAAACACTGCTCAGGAACATCACAGTTCAGAAACTCCAGCAGAGCTGGCCGTGGACAGGTGTCACCAAAACCAGGATTTGGAAGATGCCAGTGCTACGGGACCTCGGAGACCATCAGCCAAGAGAAGATCTGGAAGTACTGCTGAGCTGAAAGACACTGAGCCTGGCTCAGAAAACGAAACTTTTGGCCTCTTGCATGGAGAAGACTCAGGTAAATCCATTGGATCCCCTGCCTTTTTTTCTGTATTAAAGAAATTCTCTAGCATTTTACTAAGAATTCTCTTACTTGGACAAAATGTGGAACCAATTACTGGCATTAATTGTAAAATATTTATCATGGAGTTACATTTGACCTTAACAATACACAGTATGTATAAAATATCTTGGATTTAATGTATTTCTCTTTAAGGCAGGTTTCTTTGGGTTTGTTTCCAACTTGGAAATGCACAAGGAAAGGTTAAAATGCTGCCTTGGGTTCTTGGCTATCTAAAAATAATTTCAATTGTTCTTTTCAGGCAAGACAAAAAGAATCTCTCAGAAGAGGAAAAGTGGTGAAAGTGTCCCTCAGACTTTGGGTAAAAGAAAGAGAGTGTCTTTTGGTGGTCATCTGAGTCCAGAACTCTTTGATCAAAGTTTGCCTCCCAACTCTCCCCTGAAAAGAGGAGCTCTCCCTGCCAGGCGGAGTTTACCCTATGGAAACTCTCTGCGGGCTGCGCTCAAGAAGGCTCAGGGTTTGAGGCACTTGATAGATCAGGTAAATGTGAGGTCTAATCAAGTTGTTGTGTCCATTACTGTGATCAGAATTTATAAATTCTGTTATATATGGATTTATTCTATTATTTATCAATTCAAAATGAGTAGTAAACCTTGTGTGATGCATGCTGGTGTCACTCACGAGTGCTCAAAGAATCATCAGCAAAACCGGGTTAATTATAAAGTGAAAGTACAACCAAGTTCATTGGCAAGGTCACTCTGCTACTTACTGGATGGGTAAAACACACAAGGAAAAACCAGGCTAAAAATTGAAAATCTGTCAATATGAAACTAAAATTGACATTAAATTATTAATTGAGGGCTGGGGATGGATGAAGAATAGGAATGGGGAAGTGTGAGGATCAAAAGTATGATAAACCTTCCTGCCTAACTTAGCCCAGACTTGATCAACAGTTTAGGAGTCATTCTCTGTATCATTCCTGATAAAGGAAAATCCAAGTCTCAGGCAGGGTTTGCCTGGACAGATCACTTCATTAAGAAGGAAATTACTTCCATTCATTAATGTGTATTTTTTTTTTACCAGGAATCAGAAAGATCACCCAAAAATTCCCCAGCCCAGCAGTCCCCAGGTGCCTCATCCCCTGTCTCAGCGAAGGCAACACCCAAAATCCCTTCAGGCTCTCCAGCCCCTTTCAGGAAGGGGCGTTTCTCCATCTCCCAGCCCCCCACACCATTCCCAATTGCAGAGGAAATGGATGCTGCCACAGGAGACATGGATCCAGAGGGGGAAAATATCCAAGGGAAAACACCAAAATCTTCTCCTGCTACCCAAGATGCCAAAGCCTTGGTGACAGTGGCACCTGCCAAGTCAGCCAGAAGTGCCCAGCTGGGTTTGAAGGGCACTGCCATCAAGAGCAGAGGTGGGGCTGTGGCTGTCATCAGTGCCAAGAGGAGAAGTGGTGCCTCCAATGCCAATTTATTAGGTTGGTTTCAACAGTTAATTTTTAGTATTTACTTTCTTGCTTTAAAATACAGGAACCAAACTGGAAAAGGCCTGTTTAGTTATGCAGAGGCCACCAAATAATTGGTGAATCTTCTGAAAACTTCTGGGGTTCTTGGAAGTGCAAAGTGTTGCATTTTCTCATTCGTAAAGTAAATTTATTAAAGCATCTACAAACTCATTTAAAGACAAATATTAATGTTCAGAAGTAAAAAAAATGATAAAATTAACATTCTCTTTGCAAGGTTAGAGTCATGATCTTTAAAATCTGTCAAGTTCAAGTAGTGTTAAACTAAACCATGTTTATCGCATCAGTTTTGTTTTGAAAAGTTTTTATTTATAGCAGGGCAGCTTCACTTTGGTTATTTTGTGCCTTATTTTTATACAAGGCTCACAAACTTTGTCCAGGAACTGGGCTGTATTTAACCACTCAAAGTGTTACATAACTGGTAGAAATAAAAAATAGGATCATAACTGGATGCTACTTTCAAATCTTCAGAATTCCCAGTGTTGAGCACTGATTTGAAATGGTTTTGACAGCACTGGAAACTAATAGGGAAGTTCTGGTTCCTCAGGTTTTGACTTTTGAATAAACTTTGAAGTAGGGTGTATTTGTCACCTGTTTTCATCAGTTAAATCAGTTTGACAAAGTCAAATTCCCCATTCACCCAGGAATTTTTATTACTTTATTATTCTGTCCATTTTAATGGCAGGAGAGCTCTTGACAAATATCAGTGGCATTCCATTTCTCACCAGCTCTTTGTAATGTGCTTTTTAATATCACTGCATCAATTCCTTCTGTAATATGAAAAGAACATCACAGCTTTTAAAAATTTCAGATCCAAAATAAAACTGTTTCCAGTGCTTTTTCAGATCATTTCCTGGATGCTTGGAATTTTTCTCTGCATCCTGCACAGCCTGGCAATGTCAGCTTTTCTCAAAGTTGTTTTTTTTTTATTTGCAGACTGACATAGCAATTCTGACAAGAGAATAACAACATCCTTTCCTTTAGGAACAGCATTCCCCTTTTTAGCTCTGTTTTTAAAAATCATTTCTTTTATATGATCCCTGTGTTCTGATAGATTTTTTTTTTTTCCTGAAGTAAACAAGGCAGGTGTCCTACAACTTCTAGCTTCAGTTATTGCACAGCTGTAATTCCCTGCTCCCGCTGCTGTGGGATGATGCTGTGATGAAGGTAACCTTGCTTTGGGAGTTTTGGTAGTGTGTCACAAGGAGAAGGTGATACAAGAAAAATTATGGCAAGTCTTTGTGGATCTAAATGCAGAATAAATAACTGAAATTCCTCAGGAAGGTGGTGAAAGAAACTTCACTTAGAGACAATTTCTCTTCCGTTAAATCTCACCAGAGTAAAGCTCATCTATAATGAACGAGGCTGAAAGGCTCATGGCGAGTTTCTGTTGGGAAAACTGAGTTACTTCCAGAAGAGAGAGGAAGGAATTGGGTCAGTGTTCAGCTGTAGGATCTGAGTGTTTGATGCTGTGTAGAGCTCATTGTTTTGGTTTGGAAAGCCACAATGGGTACTTGGACTCTTAAACTACAGCTGGAACTGGGTTTTCAAATTGAGAATATTTCAGAGAACATTTCAGATGTTATTAGATAATAACAACCACTTTCCTCTGCCAGACTGCAGAAAATGTATTGGAATTGCAAAGAAATAATTGTGAACTTCCATTTACACAGCTGAGAGTTAAAGTGGTTCTTTCTCATTTTCTTCTAGTTGCAAAATCTTGGGCAGAAGTGGTAAAATTGGGAGTTGCAAGACCACAATCAAAGACTGCTAAAAAAAGTGTCCGTAAAGGAAGAGTCCTGAAGAGGAGGAACCCCCCAACAAAGGTGTCCTTTACTTTTTTGTGCTTCTTTGTTTTATTTTCTTGCATAACCACCAAACAGCTTGGATGGATTTTGAGCGAGAAGCTGAGCTCTTGGTGTGATGAAAAATGGGAGTTGATGTCTCTCACAGCATGTGGGAAACAGGTTGGTACAAAAGGATTCACAGAATTATTAATATTAAGGTTGGAAAAGACCCCCAAGATCTTGGGAGTCCAATCTTGCATAATAAAAATTAGGAATTTGGCAGAATCTGCCTTTCCTAAACTCAGGCTGGCTGGGCCTTCCAGCCCTCGTTGGCTTTGGACATCCTCCAGTCTTCTGGAACCTCCCAGTTAACCATGATTGATGATAAATTATGGAAGGAGCTTGGCCACCTCTACCACCATGAATCTTTGTTTAATAACTTCTTTTTTTTTTTTTTTTTTTTTCTTTTCTCTCTGCAGACTTCAGAGAAGAAAATAAAAGATCACTTTAGCACAGGTCATGCAGAGTCACCTGCTACCATAGTTGTAGGTAGAGCTTATTCCACCAAAGTCAGGTCAGCTGGACATGTCCCTAAGGTGGTAAAAAATCCCAGGATGAAGCTTAACATGGATATGGATGAAAGCTTCACAGGTGAGATTTTAAAGTCTGTTGCTTCATCTGCCCACTGTGAAGTTCTTTTGTAAAAACATCTGCTAATTTCTCCCAATATAATTTCTAGGAGTGCCTGAAATGTTCCAAACTCCAGAAAATCAGGGAGAAAGAACATTTCCTTTGGCTGATGCTCCGAATGCTGATTTTACACCACCATGGGCTGCAGGGGACATTTCTGACTTGCACACTCCTGAGGGTTCTGGTAGGTTTGGTATTTTAAAAAAAAATACTGACTTATATTATGGATTAGCAGCAGTCTCAGCCTAGGCAGACTTAACTGAGGTGAAGCATCCAGCAACCTATGAAAGGATCCATTGAGATTTATCAGGTATTAAAAGAAAATGTAGTTCCTGTTAATTTCTGAGTAGGACATTTTATCATTCATTCTGTTTGGTATGGAACTGCAAGGTTCTGATGAGTTGCTTCAGACACTGAGTACCCAATACACAAGTTTGGATTTTTATTTCTAAAAAGGTATATCTGAATTTGATTTTTTTTTTTATTATACAGCAATTAAAATGCTTGGATTTTCTGCTTAATTTATTTTCCAAATGATGTAAATCTACTGCTTGTTTCAGGAGAGATGATGGTGTCACCATTAAATAATTCAGATGGTTCAGAGCAGAAGCAAGACAGCCCAGGTATGCTCTGCTTTCTGAGAGAGGAGTCATCTCCATCTATGTTTGATGAAATAGCCACAAAAACTCCTGAAAAAAGAGAATCTGTGCATGAAGATAATGTGGATAGTTTGGCAATAATTCCAGAAAAAACAGCATCTCCGGTGAAATCAGGAAGTAAAAGGAGGACTCCAAAGCAGAAGTTGGAGACAGTTGAAGTCATGTCAAGCAAAAGGAAGATTTTAAGGACCCCTGAGCAAAGGTCAGAACCAGGAGAGGTTTTGTCAGGTATCAAGAGGCTCATGAAGACCCCAAAGCAGAAGCCAGAGCCTGTGGAGGTTTTGTCAGGCATCAAACAGCTCATGAAGACCCCAAAGCGGAAATTGGAGCCTGTGGAGGTTTTGTCAGGCATTAAGCAGCTCATGAAGACTCCAAATCAAAAATTGGAGCCTGTAGAAGTTTTGTCAGGTATCAAACAGCTCTTGAATACCCCAAAGCTGAAGCCTAGAGAGGTTCTGTCAGGCATCCAACAGCTCTTGAAGACCCCAGATCAGAAATTGGAGCCTGTAGAAGTTTTGTCAGGCATCAAACAGCTCATGAAGACCCCACAGCGGAAGCCAGAACCAGTGGAGGACCTGTCAGGCATCAAACAGCTCATGAGGACCCCAAAGCAGAAATTGGAGCCTGTGGAGGCTTTGTCAGGCATCAAACAGCTCATGAAGACCCCAAAGCAGAAATTGGAGCCTGTGGAGGCTTTGTCAGGTATCAAACAGCTCATGAAGACGCCAAAGCAGAAATTGGAGCCTGTGGAGGCTTTGTCAGGTATCAAACAGCTCATGAAGACGCCACGGCGGAAGCCAGAGCCATTGGAGGACCTGTCTGGCATTAAGCAGCTCCTGAGGACCCCACAGCAAGAGCCAGAACCACTCCTGGATGAAATTGCCTTGAAAAGGTTGCTGGACACTCCAGTAGAGAGCAAGGAAGCAGTAAAAGCTGTGCCAGGTGTGACTTCAGCCAAGAAAACCCCAAAGCTGAAATCCCAACCTGTGGAAGACATGGTCGGGATCAGCCGCATTTTCCAGACACCAAAGGAAAAGGTTGAGCCCATAGGAAACATGTTTGGAATCAGCAGATTAATGAAGTCTCCTAAAGAGAAATATCAACCAGTTGAGGATTTTGTGGGACTGCAAAGGCTCATGGCAGAACCCAAGCAGAAACCACCTGATTTTGAAGTGGACTATGCTGGAGTGACTGAAATGTTTGGGACCCCAGAGGAAATGAAGGTAAAATACTTTAACTTTTGGAAGGGACGTTTTTAGACTTTGAAACCTGTGACTGAAATGACTTTAGACTTCTTAGTATGACACCTTGTATTTTACAACATTTTTTAGGGACGGCTGCATTTGTGTGTGTTAAAATGTATTCAAGAGACCTGTCACAAACAAGCATTTTAAAATTAAGAATCATTAAAACCAGACTTAATATAAAAGTGATAAGCTCAATATAAAAGTGACATTCCCAGCATCTCATTCACCATTCCACACTGACCATCGCAGGTAGGAAAAGTGAAGTTCTCCAATGGGTGGGTCAGGCTTGGTGATGTCTGGTTAAACCAGCCTGGTTTGTTCTGCTGCTGGTTTTTGCAGTGAAAAGAATATTGATATTCAGTGGAGATGTGCTGGCATCACTGCCAGGTACCATTTTCTGTAAAAAACTATTTTGATTCTCATATTCCATAGGTAAAATGCTGAGTATCTCTGAGCTTAGTGCTTACAACTACAATAAAACACTACAGAGCACTCAATTTCTCTTCAATACCCCAAATTCCCTTTGAGCACTCATTAAGGCACTTCTCAACCTCTCCACGATGTTGTCTTTCACTTTAGATGGCAGGAATTAAATTTGCTGTGTTTGTGGGCTTGTATCAGCCCACAATACAATGGATATATTTATAAGACTAATTGATTTAATTTGTAAAGAAAAGGATTTGACAAGAATTTTTATAAATCTTGCTGTACATTCATCTGGTATTGGTTGGCTCCATAAGTTCCTGTCCTGTCAGATATGCATTTATTGGTTATTTTTTATTCCCTTAGGTCGGATCAGTAAATGTTATGGATTCTCAGGAAGAAATTGCACCTCCTGGTTCTAATTCCAGTCGTAAATATGGTAAGCACAAATATTTTGCTTAGAGGAATAATGAATATAAAAAATCATAAACATTATCATGAAGTTTAGATCTTGTTTAAACCTCTCTCAGTGTGCCCAGCTATTTCCTGAGCTAATTTTTTCCCTTTGACCTACCCAAATAAATTAAACAACTTCAGTCAGAAGCCTGGCCTTTAATCTAGGAATTGGTTCAATATTTCTTTATTTGTTGTATGGTTTGCTTGAGCAAGATGCCTCTGTGAGGAAAAAGGAAAATGCGCAGATGCTTTGATCAGGCACAGGAATATCTAATTTTTGTTTGTGCTCTTTACCCTGTTGTAGAAAAGGAAGGAAAAGTTTCCCAAGGTGAAGATTCTCAACAGAAGAACTCAGCTGGTGAAGAGCAGCCTATCCAGAGAGCCAGAAGGGGCAGGCCAAGGAAGGCTGTACCTCCTGCTGCAGCAAAGCCAAGTGAAAATGCTGTGAGTTTAAAGGAGTTAGAGAGTCCTGATACCCAAGAGGAGATGGGAGTGATCACACATGAAAACAAGGGCAGAGGAAGGAGGGCAAAGTGTTGCATACAAGAAGTTGTTCCAAAGTGCCCTGATCAGGAAGGGCTCGATATTGTTTCATCTGTGGAACCACCTGGTGCTGCTCAGAAATCAGGAAGAGGTAAAAGGCAAAAGCTGAAGGAGTTAAAACATCCAAATGAAAGTCTTGAGTTTTGTGTTGAAGATTCTTCACTGCTACAAAAAGCACCTGCAAATAGCAAACAGAGTTTGCAGGACTGTGGCACCAATGAAGCTGAAGATGATCCAGGCATAAAGACAGGACCTGGAAACATTCAGAATGAAATTTGTCAGCTGCAAACAGGTTTAAATAATCCTGACAGCAAAGCTAATGACAGTGGGATAGAGGACAGTGAAGAAGAGCTCCTGTCACTGAGGAGGAGGCACAGAGGGGTGGAGAACACAGAACCAGTGATTCCAGCAAAAAGAGGGAGACGAGCAAGGAATGACCAAGGAAAAGCAGCTTCTCCAGGAGACCTTTGTGGAACAACCAGAAATCTTCGTAAAGACCCATCCTCAAATGTTACACAAAGACAGGAACAGGATTGTGACAAAGCTCCTGAGGCTGTCACAGCACAAGAATCTGAAAATGGCACTAAACTTGAGCTAAAGGCAACAAAGAGAAGAGTTAAGTCTTTCAGAAGTACTAGAAACAGAAAGCAGTCAGCTGAAATAAAAGCAGACACTCGTGGGGTCGCACTTGAAAATACACAACACGTTCAGAAAACTGAGGAAACATCAACTGAAACTGATGCTGAAACACAATCCCACGTGAGAAATGAGATGAAAGGATCTCAGGGATGTGAAACAGAAAATTCTCAGGAAAATACAACAGAGGCAGCTCAGAGATTACAGGCAGAGTCACCTTCTGCAGAGACCAACAAAATGCCAGTCAGTGCTCAGAACATGGAAGCAACCAGGGCTAGAAACAGGAGAGGCAAAAAAGACTCTCTGGAGCAAAAAGCTGATGAGTTTACTGAAAATGTGAACAGCCTAAAACAAATTACTCCCAAATTTAAGTCAGAAACAGAAGTGGATGAATCTTCTCCCCAGGATTCCTGGGGCTCTGTTTGTGCCAGTGCAGCCCAAGGCAAGGAGGAGCAGCCCAGCCCGGGTGCCACATCTGTCCCTGCTGCAGACAGTGCCAGTCCTGCTCAGGGCAGTCACAGGAAGACGAGAAATGAGTGGGGAGTACTTAAAGCAAAGCAAACTGAAATCCTGCAGAGGAGTCCAGCACAAAGAAATGCAGTCATGTGTAGAAGAGGAAGAGGTAAAAAAGTCAATTTTCAGCTTGAAGAAGGCAGTTCCAAAGTGACTGAAGGAAAAGGTTTACCTGAGGGTGATGAAGGGATGGCTGACAAAGATAATCAACGTGAGAATTCCGAAAATCCTCCTTCACGGGGAAGGAGGGGCAGGAGAAAGCAACTTGATTCCATCCCACAAAAAGCTAGTCCTGCCTTTATGGAAAAGCAAACATTAAGTGCAGATCACAGGGAAGATGAGGCTGTTGTGCAAGAGCAAGAATCAGCTTTGGAAGCTGCTCCCACTTCAGCAGAGGACAATCCACCGAGACGGGGGAGGAGGCGTCAGGTGGCTGCAGCATCACAGACCAGATCTCCTTCTGTCAGAACGAGACGTGGGGTGCTGGAAGGTGATGCTAAAAAGACAGCAGAGAGAGAAGATGAAAATCCAGCTCTGGGTAATGAAACTTTGCAGGCAAAAGTGAATTCATCAGCGAGGGACAGAAGGAAAAAGATGGATCCGGTAGCAGAGGCAAGTTCATCTCCTCTCCAGAGAAAGTGTGGCTTGTCAGAGGCTAAAGATGAGGGTACTCATGAAGAACAAAGTGTGCCTGTGGCAGAGGTGTCATGTGCAAAGGAGGAGCCACCAGGGAGGGGCAGAAGGAAAGAAACTGCTCTGGCATCACACACAACCAATCCCATCTCTCTCAGAGGGAAATGCGGGCTGCCGGCAGGTGATGGAGAAGAGGCTCCCAAAGAAGAGCAGAATGTTCCCTTAGAAACGTGTGATCCATCCAGGAAGGAAACTCAACTGAGAAGAGGCAGGAGGAAGGAAATTGCCCCCTTGATAGAAGCCCAAAGTTCTCTTCAGGGAAACCAGGTCCTGTCAAGACGAAGTGGTAGAAAAAGTAACAACAGGGAAGCTAAACAGAGCAGGGACAATTCTTCCCAAGAAAATACGGATTTTGTAAAAGGCAGCTCAAGGCAAGCAACCACTTCACTGGCTCTTAGTCCCACCTCACTTCAAGGCTTGACAGAAGATGGTAAAGATGGAATTCCTGAACAACAAAGTCAACTTTTGGAAGTAGCTCCACCTGCAAAAGAAAATCCATCAAGAGTGGGCAGGAAGAAAACAACTTCTTCCGCTTCTGAAACAATTTCCACTTCTCTCAGGGGAAAATCCAACCTGCCCAGAGGCAGAGGTCAGAAGAGGATTCTTAAAGGAGGTGAAGATGCATCTCCAGAAAATAATCCATGCCAGGGAAGAACAAGGCAGTTGAGGAATAATAGGAGGAAGGTGGAATTTCTATTAGAGGCAGCTGCTTCTACCTCTCCCCATAAAAGCAGTGACTTGCCAGAAAATGGCAACACTCTGGAAACTCAGGATTTGAGTGGAGCATCCACTGGTTCTGAAGAGAATCAGTCTGGAAAAGGCCAGGAGGGTGACCCTGCTTCACAGGCAGCCCCCACCTCTCGCAGAAGGAAATGCCAGCTGCCAGCAGAGGATGTGGCACCCAAAAAATCAAAATCAGGTGAGGCAAGGAGTGGCTTTCTCTTCTCTAAGCTTGGCTGAGTTATGTGTAGACAACAATTGTGTGCAGAGCCCTGGGGCTGCTGATCTAGATCACAGAATGACAGGATCATTTAAGTTGGAAAAAAATCCGAGATCCCAGCTCCCTCAGCTGCTCCTGGGGCTCCAGCCCCTTCCCCAGCTCCATTCCCTTCCCTGCTCACACTCCAGCCCCTTCCCCAGCTCCATTCCCTTCCCTGCTCACACTCCAGCCCCTTCCCCAGCTCCATTCCCTTCCCTGCTCACACTCCAGCCCCTTCCCCAGCTCCATTCCCTTCCCTGGTCACTCCAGCCCCTTCCCCAGCTCTATTCCCTTCCCTGGTCACTCCAGCCCCTCCATGTCCCTCCTGAAGTGAGGGACCCAAACTGGACATGGCACTGGAGGTGCCTTCCCAGTGCCCAGTACAGGGGGACAATCTCTGTCCTGGTCCTGCTGTGCCACATAAAATATTCCCTGGAATTTTCAGCTTGACTTCAAAACTCCCAGTTAAAAAATATTATCAAATGAATGTCTTGAAGTAGAAATGACAGTAACTCTTTAGAGCTACACAATGAGCAATTTCTTGCCATAAAACTTCCTCTGTTTTCATTTTTGCAGGACTTTGGTGTTGGTTCTGTTTTAGTTTTACGTGTCAGTGGAAGGAATTTTAGCTAAAGTGGCAGCTAATTGGTTTTGGTGCTCTCATTAATGTTAACCTACTTTCAGAAATAGCTGTAAATCTTCAGGGATCCAACTTAAAGGATATTGGATGTGCAGAAGTGTGGGGTTGGTATCTGGTTTGTTGAATTCAGAGATGTAATCTTTGGAATGTTGTCATTTGGGACATTTCCTTTCAAAACAATGTAGGTGAAGATGGAACTTTTTGGGGAAATATTTGCTTGATGATACAAATTGACATTTTTCCATGTGCAAATAGGGAATGATGAAAATGGGTCTCTACAAAGAGGAAGAAGAAACAAAACTAAACTTGGAGAAGAGGATGCAAGGGCAGCTCAGACCACTGGAGGGATGGAGAGGAGGACAAGATCCAGCACAAGAACAAGGAAACAGCCTTAAGAGTCCCAGAACCAGTTCTTAAATCAATTCAGTAATTCCAATTACAGGTCGTTTTTAATGTGAATTGATTTGCACTCAGATTTTAAGCTCAGATTTTTGATAATTCTATGGTTGCTTTGCAGAATATATTTCTTAATGTATTTACAGATAGAAGATAGGTATTTCTTGAGTAGCTTTGCCAACGTGTGGTGGTTCCTAAACCATGGGGTGCTTGTGCAAAGCTGTAAACATAAAATACAATTTGTTATACCAGTGTTCCTCCCCTTTTTCCTGTTGATCAGTACAACAATCAGGAAGCCATGTTACTTCCAGCTCAAGCTATTTTCTGCTGAAATTTTCCTATGCTGAAGTTTTTATTTTTTATCTGAGTTTTGTAAATATTCTTTTTAAAAGATACTAGTTGTATTAGCAGAAGTATTATGATAAATTTGTGATAATTTTTTTTTAAAAAAAAATTAAGCTTGTATTAAAAAATGCAGGTTTTGAAGTCATTAAACTTGTAAACAATTTGGGACTTGTGTGTTTTTTTTGTTTTAAGGATGCAATTGCTGCTGAGTTCATTTCTAAGGTTCTGTGGTTGATGTGGTTTGGAGACAGAACTTTTAGGACCTTTTACAGATAATTTGTCTTCAAGGGGGTTTCTGAAATGCAGGAACAAAAAATTCAGCCTGGGCATCAAACTTGTGTGCAGTTTTTAAACTTGAGTTAAAATCCTTTGTTTCTGTGGTGTGTGAGGAGTCAGGAATGTTTCTGCAGCAGAGCACTCGGAACTGGAGCTGTAAAGGTTGGAAAAGACTCCAAGCCTCAGATGTGATTTAATATATTTATTTTTTTTAATTTAAGTTGGATTTTTTGCTTGTTTTTTATGTGAAATGTTTTGTACCCATATCCACAGAGGGTTTTTATTGAATGATAATGCACTTTTTTTTAAAATCTACTTAATTCTATTGTGAAAATTGAAATATGTCCATGCATCCAGGGTTGCTCCATCCCAGGTGCAGAATCTGGTACTTTCCCTTGAACTTGGCTGATACGAGAAGTAGATTATATTATGGTGGGGGGTGTTTGGGTTTGGGTTTTTTGTGGGGTTTTTAACTCTTGTTTCCCAATCATGACATTCCTAAAACTTTAGCCCTGAAATCTCAGAGGAAAGCAAAATTTTGCCATCTCCCCTGAAATCAGAATTGTCTCTGTGTAAGCAATGCCCAGTGCCATGGTTGGGAAATGCAGGGATCCACAGGAATATTTTTCTGGTTCCAAGAAGTTGTTTGGGTTTTTTACTCTCTGATCTATCACTTTTGGGTTTGGTCCTAGTTGAAATCTAACAGAAGCTCAGCTCAGATTAAATGCCTCAATTCTTCAGAGCTGGGGTTCCTTCCCATCCAAGCAAAACTATCAGGAATTGTCTCCTTCTCTCATTCCCCCTTTCCCAGGTGCCTCACTGGGGTTGGAGAAGGAATCCTGGGCAGTCTTGTCTAAGGTGGGCAGTCTCTCCCTAAAGAAGATATCCCATTGTTTTTGTAGGAATTGGAGAGATCTCCAAAGTCAGATCCCAGTTTTTGTAATGCCAGCAACGTCCTGTGAAGATCTCTGGAAGTCCAGATCTGTTTTGTGAAGAGATGGACAAGGGGAGAATTCCCAAAGCAAAGGTTTGTTCATGGAAGTCTCTCAGAAGGTGATGTCATTTTGGGAATGTTGTACAGCCAGTCAGGGAAAGCAGCAGGAGTTTAAGGTACGTGGCTGATGGGTTTTATTGTTCATAAATCTGGATTTGGTTGTGGGGACACTGCAGCCACCCAGAGCATGGCTTTGCTCACTCTCCAGGACATTTCCAGGGCAGGATTTGCTCTCTGCTCTTCTGTAGAACTGACATTTGACATCAATTCATGTTTCTAATTTAATAAAGATGTATTTTATGGGCAGCTTCTTTTCCAATCAGAAAATCTGAAACTGCAAATCTACCTCAAGGTAGATAATTCTGAGGGAGAGCTGAGACAAATCTCTTTCCTCTAGGAACGTTTCCAAATTATCTTCTCTAATTTCTGTAGTGCTACATCTTCATTGTTGTGTGGCAGCACAATTTTTTTAAAAGAAAGGAAATGGTAGGAAAATTTCATTGCAAACTTTCTGCATTGTCAATATTTTTGATTTTTAATCTGGACAGATGATTTTAAGGAAAGAAGGAAAGGAGTGGGACACAAAAAAAAAAAAAAATCAGGAAGCAGAGTTTATCTTGGTTATCCATGATTGTCACTTGGATTTACAAGTTGCTGGATATAGATATATCTATTTGTTTTTAAATCTACAAATTTATTTTATAGATAATTTCTAAAGAATAAGTACTTTAAATCTTATTTAAATATAGAGCATCCTGTTAATGAGATTTAATCTCACAGCATCATTTAGGTTGGAAAAGCCCTCCAAAGCCATCGAGTCCAACCCCAGCACTTCCAAGGCCACCACTGTCCCATGTCCCCAAGTGCCACATCCTCATGGCATTTAAATCCCTGCAGAGGATTTATTATTTAAGCATTACTTTTCCAGAGGTGTTGGTTTGAACATCCTTTTGATGGCATTGTCACCGCTGTGCTGTCAATTGTCACCGATCCCACTGTTCCCTGTGGGAGCCTCCATCTATCCTCTCAATTTCATCTCCACACTTATTAAAAATAGATGGACTTGCTGCTTCCACTACATAAATAAGGTTGAAAAATCAACTTGATTGTCACAAAGAGTTTCAAAACCTTCAAAACTTCCTGACAACAATAACTGGATTTTAATATTTCAGCCCTGCATTGCCATCGACGCCGCAGCTCTGCCCGTTCCTGACAGTCGCTTTCATATCCAATTTCCTTCCAGACTTCTGTGAGTTCTTGCCTTGGAAGAGTTCCTTGACAGCAAGAAAAGCTGCTTAATTACATGAAACATGGAAAGAAAACTTGCATTGGTTTGAATTTTGCACCTTTGAATTTGTCTCTTTCCCTGGCATTGCTCCCCTGCCCTGTCCTGGAGGATCAGGGGAACTGATGCTGTTTTGGGAGAACAGTTGTTAACCTTGGAGCCAAGCTGTAAACACCCCCAGAATTTGGGGAAATTCTGTAATTTCCCCAAGGCTGGGCTCTGATGGAGGCAATTCTCAGAGATTAACAGATAGCAGGTAATTGATGATCTTTGAGGATGCTGTCTCCATAGATTCCCACTCCAGCTTCCTTCCCTGTTTCTTCAGAATGTAATTTATGGCTGGTACTCAGAGGAGGTCACAAAAAATCCCGGAGACAGGTGGGAACACCCACCCTGTTTAAAAAATTCCATGTGAGGTTCCCTGACACTCAAAAGTCATAATTAGTGAATATTCTCAGGCTTGCAACCAGAGGCTGGAATCTGTGGATAAACTAAACTTGAGGAACATCTCATGAAGTAAATTTTCCTTTTTAGTACTGAGAAACATAATGAAAACCCACCTGGAATTTAAATCTCAGGAATGTGGCATCGTCTGGGAACTTTTGATGGTGCTCAGGGCAGATACTGATGTTTTTATGGTTCTGTGAGTGGCAGGTAGGTCAGGACCTGTCTCATGATTTGTCCTCACTGGGTCACATTTATGATAAAATAGCAATGGACATTAACACTGAAATTTGGGAAAAATCAGTGTATTTGAAAGCTAAAAACCCAATCCTGTTCTGATCTTTAGCATTATAAATTCCCCTTTTTTATTTTAGTGAATTTAAGCAAATTCTCCTGATTAATTTTTTCTCCCAGAAGGGCTTTTTAAAATCCAGTAGAATGCAGGATTGTGCATGGCTAAAATCCACCTTTGTAATCCCAAAATGATATTTGATAACCACAACTTTTAGGGGACAGATGGCAGAGTAAAACTTTCTATATTTCACTGAAAATATCAATAGTTTTAACAAGAGACAGTCAGAATTTGGGAATTAAGGGTAGGGATACCATAAAACCATGAAAAAAGTGTTCAGTATCCACTCACTGCTGATTTGAAGCAGCACCATTCCTTGCCCAGGAAATATTTTTAGCCAAAACCAAAAGAAATCAAAGAAATTGAAGCAAATATTCCTGTGTCTGTATAAGGGAAGAAACACTGGCAACAAATCAGTGTTTTTAACACTACTTTTAGTGCTCCTAGTAGAATTATCTCAATAAAGTTACTACCTTTTAAAACTTATCATATTAGAACACAAAAATCTTGTCAGGTTCAGGAAGTTCCTTGTGGCTTGTTTTCCCTCCTAAAATTGGACAGGTATTTAAAACAAAACCTGTGTGAGATTAGTTTCACTCCTCAGTGTTCATTTAGCAAGTAAAAATCCCTGTTTTGACTTCAGCACTTTAAAATCTGTCGATACAAATCCTTCAACACAAATTTCCCAGCTCCAGAAGAGAACTGGCCCAAGTGAACTGCAGCACTTTGAAATAATTTAATTTCAAATTAATAAATTTAATCCAGTTTAACTCAAGTTTAAATTCAAGTTTCAACTCAGACAGACACAATAACTTTTTGGATTGGAGTTGTTTTCATGTTCCACCAGAAGAGAAACTTCTTAACAATAAATTGCAACTCTTTCATTAAGCGAAAAACTTGTGATTTCCAGAAAAATACCATTTTTGCTATTTGTGGTAGGAGATCAAAGGACTGCACAACTTTGCAGCCATCTGAAAAGTAGAAGTTTATTTCTAAATTTCTCAATTCTAAGTAAAATTTTATTTCAAGAATGAGTTTAATGTTAAAATTTAGCTTTTTAATAGGAATATTATCATGTAAGTTATGTTAGTATGAAATTATTGTAGAATCTTTTTGTATTTAATAGCTTTTTAATTTTGTTAATATCATTTCCTTCACTGAGATGATCACATTTTCTAAGACAAGATAAAAATACTGGCATGGTGGAAAGAAAATTGGGATTTTGTGCAATTTAGAGTTTTCCAGGCTGCTCTATGGAAGAATATAAGGAAATCTTAGTGGCTACTGCATGGCACAGGAATGAAATCCTGATTTTCTCCTCTGCTCCTTCCAGAGCGAGCTGCATCTCTATCTGGATCTGGTGCTTTCAGTTTTGCAGCTCTGGAGCATTTTTAAATTGCAATGTTTGTGAATACCAGGGAAATATGCAGCTTTCACTGCCCTCAGGAAGGTCAAACAGATTTTTCTAAAAATCAGCTCATTAGAGCTGTAAATTAGATTAGGCCAGACTCTTCTCAACCACCTACGAGCATTTATCCTGTCAATCTCCCAAGAACTCGCTGCCATAAATCCTTGTTTTTCTTTGAGGGAAGGTATCCCACCAACTGACCAACACTGTGCTGGTGAACTTTGTAATTAATATTTTGCATGTGTTCATAAAACTCTCAATGACCTATTTTTAAATAATGGGAAATGAGAAACCCTTCTAGGAGGGTCAGGCAGATCAGAAATCATCCATGAGGGAAGTGAAGGGCCAAATCCATTTTAAT